CACAATCACAGCTGTTGAACCAAGAGCACAATCATAGAATCCCTATTGATCTAGATTATTTCACTGCTTAGCAGATTTACACTGCTACCTTGATGAAAAGTGACAACCTTGATGAAAAGGAGATTTGGGAGGCTATGAATTCTATTGATAGCAACAAAGCAGCTGGTCCTGATGGATTCACAGCTAAGTTCCATAAGAAATCTTAGGACATTATTAAACCTGAGGTGAAAGCTAATGTGGCTAGTTTTTTCCAAGGAAATAATCTTTTCTGGCCAGTTTTTTCCAAGGAAATAATCTCCCACATTACTTTAGTGCTTCTACTTTTGTGCTGATCCCCAAATCTGAGATACAAACCACCTGGAATCACTTCAGACCAATTTGTTTAGCTACTATAATTAGCAAAGTGATTAGCAAAATCATTGTCAATAGGCTCCAACCTCATCTTGAACACATCATTAAACCCAATCAGACTGCCTTTGTGAAGGGGAGATCTATTATTGACAACACTCTTTTGGCACGTGAACTTCTGAATGATCTAAATAAGACTTGTAGAGGTGGAAATTTGATCTACAAGTTGGATTTGAAAAAGGCCTATGATACTATCAGTTGGGGATTCATTATGGATGTTCTTACAGCTAGAGGTTTCAACATAGACTTCTGCCAGCTGATTCACAGATGGCTTCACAATAATAATCACTCTATTTTCATAAATGGCAAAGGCTGGGGGTCTTTCACTGCATCCAGAGGTTTGAAGCAAGGGGACCCCTTATCCCACACTATGTTCATTATTGCAATTGACTCTTTATCTAGAATGCTGGATGAATCTCTGTTAAACCAAAACTACACTATTTATCATCACAGATCCAACATTGCCATCACTTGCTCTATGTTGATGACATCATGGTATCTCTAGAGCTAACAAGAATGTTGTAAGGAATGTGTATCAGGCTCTTCAAAAGTTCCAAGCACACTCTGGTATGTGTTTCAGTCCTAAGAAGTGCCTTCTGATATTTAATAAACATGCTAATCCTAACTGTAAACAATGGGCTTCTAGCTATACTGGCTTCCCTAATTCTCAGCTTTCTGTCAAGTATTTTGGGACCATGCTTCTTACTGGAAGAACTAGGTAAATTCAATTTGAAGAAGTCATAAATAAGATCACTACCTACCTTAATGGGTGGACTCTTTCCTTTCTTTCTAATGGAGGCAGCGCAGAATTACACTGCTGAAAAGCATTCTAACTACTTTTCCCTCTTATATAATGCAGATGACTAATATCAAGAAAAGCACCCAAATTCAGCTTGAAAGGGCTTTTAACGGATTTTTATGTTCTGGACAGAGGCAGCAAGTGCATTGGGCTTCTTGGCAAAAAGTGGCTAAACTCCAGCTGGCTGGGGTTATTGGCTTCAAGGGTATTAATCAACTCTTCCAAATCAACTTATGCAAGCTTTGGATTAAATTCAGAGCTCAGACTTCATTGTGGGCTATTTTTATGAAGGGCAAATATTGTAGAGACCAGCACCCCACACTTGTTGAAAGAAAGATAGGGGATTCCAAAATATGGGGAAAGATGTTGAACATAAGACATACTGCTGTTCATTTGGGACTTGGCTTTTCATTTGGGACTTGGGGAAAGGAGATATAAATTTCTGGCTTGATAATTGGTGCCCTAAAGATTGGCTGTCCCTTATCTATAGTGCCCCTAACATTGATCTCAAGGTGGCTGACTGCTGGGTGGATGATGATTGGCCTTTACATAAACTATCAAATATTCTCCATGCCAATTCTGTAACAATAATTGTCAGCATCAAAATTGACAGAAGAAAGCCTGATAAAATTGTTTGGTAGTCTTTCTTAAATCAAAGTCTTACCAAAGCCATCTACTCTAAAGTATTCCAATGGGAACACCTAGCCTGGAGCACAATTATTTGGAACAATTTTCTATCCCCCTCCATGTCATTTTTCTGTTGGAGGATTTTTCATAATCTACTTCCTACTGATGATATCCTTAAACTAAAGGGATTAAGGGGGCCTTCTAAATGCAGGTTCTGTCTTCAGGAGGAGGAATCACTGCCCCATCTATTTTTTGAATGCAATTTTGTCCAAGTTGTTTGGCACCAACTGTTGTCCCACTTAAATATTGACAAAAATCTCTTTACTTGGGACAACATTACCACTTGCTGGCAGACATGGAATAAGAGGAACTATGCTTCTATACCCCTCATTGTTGCTTGGTTTATATGAATGGAAAGAAACAAGGCTAAGTTTGAAGAAGGTACACCAAAAACTGAAAAGATAGTCAGAAATAGCCTTTCTTATGTACACAAGATGATTAAGTTCAAAAGATTTCCAAACATTTCTCTTTTACTCTTTGGGACAACCTAACCAGACTCATGTTCATAGGTTTTACTGGAAACCTCCTGATTATCACACTGTCAAGATAAATACTGATGGAAGCTTCAATAAGTCAGGAGCAAGTGTGGGGGGTGTCTACAGAAATCACTTGGGGAAATGCATATTATATTTTCACATTCCCATTTTGGATGTTGATGCAATTGAAACAGAACTTGTGGCTATTTATTGGGCCTTAAAAATTGTCAAAATGTCTAGCTGGTACAACTTATGGTTAGAAGTGGACTCTACTGCTGTAATCAATATACTGAAGGATGAGGAGCATGTACCCTGGCACCTTACTTATTGGATCAAAATAATTAGAGAAATATCTTCACAGCTAAAGGTGCACTACACTTTCATTTATAGAAAGGGAAACCAACTTGCAAATTGGCTTGCTAGACAAGGTTATAACTTAAAGGATTTCTCTGTTGTTGTTTCCCCTTCCCACACCATTTAGTTTTTACTTCAAGGAGACAGGATTGATGTCTCACACTTCAGAATTGTTAATCAAGATCAAGAGTGACTGCTTTATTTCAGTTGTTATTTCCTTTCCCCCTCCTTTTCTTGTTGTCTTCTTGTTGTGTTCTCCATGTTATATGGGGATTATTTTAGGCAAATAGTGGTTTTTGTTTGGCATTTTGGGAGGACTGATGATTCCTGTATTGAATCAAAAGTTCTCTAGCTGTTTATCTTTTTCCTGTAACCCCCTCTTTAGTCAAACATGTAGGGACACAATAGCATCTCCTTAAACCAAATAAATATATATATATATATATATGTTGCTAAAATTTTTATTCTTATTAAAAATTTAAGTTTGGTGGGGCTGAAAAATTTTTTAAAAAAATTTGAAATTTATTTGTTCTCAATTTGTTGGTCACTAAATTTGAAATTATCGGTCGCTGGAATGGATATCTCGATGCCCAATTTAATTTAATATGTATATATATAATTTTGAAAAGTAATATTTTAAATATTGAAAATACGAGACCGAACCAATCCCATATCCTCACTAGTTTAAATAAACGAGTCTAGTGCCGCAAGAAAGCATTCATCCTAAAGAAGAGATACACTACTCACCGGTAAGGCTTGATGAAATAAACAAAGGAATTTATGACATCCGTTTAAGTCTAAAAAAAATCATTTTTTTATATCGACCGATAAGTTCCCCTATTTAATATGAAAAATCAAATAGGGTTTATATTAAGTTGTGTTCTTAAAAGTTTCCTATAAGGGCGTGCTCCTTTAGTTAATCACATCTTAGATAACTGAAGTCACCTATAAAAACTATTGATAAAAATTAAAGAAAATTGTCTTCAAGGAGTTCAAAGAGATATTATTTTTCAAAAGATCGGAGAAAGAGTTGTGAAATGGGATTGACTCAAATTTGGAACATTTTTATGAAATCTAAAGGAAAAATAACTAGAGCATGTCATGAATCCTGAGAAGAACCTCGGTGTCTTCCCAAGCTATCCTATAATATGCCTTTAGTTTTGAAATGAAATTATTTAAAAGTTTCATTCTACCAATTTTATTAATTAGGTAATACATTCACGTAAGACAGTCGCACAAATAACCTAGAAGATTTGAGGATTTAGGCCGTGACGAACGACAACTTTAGAATCCTAAAACGAGTTAGGGCTTAGATTGTATAGCAGAACTATAAAAAGGCATAAATAAAAAGTTGAGGATTTATGTCGCACTAGGCGAACAACCTCAAAATCTTATGGCTAGTTGTTTAATTATAAGGAAAGATATGGTGTTGTAGATCTTCATGCTGTCGCAGATTGTTGTTGTAGAAGGCTGCTCATAAACTTAGCTCCAAGCTCCTTGGTGAAGTAGCAGTGTTAAAGTCTAAGGTTTAAAGGTTTAAATGACAATTTTCAAGTTCAATCATAATGGGGTGGGGGAAGGGGGTTAAATTTGATTAAAGCGACACCGGTTAGGATCCCATAGTTCCCTTGTTCTGCTATAACTATTTTCCTTTGAATTTACTTAGCTTAAACGAGTTGTGAAACCCATTTAAATTGGGAAAATCTCCTTAACAACCATGGGTTACCTCCTCTAAGGGACTTCCTTAAATTCAAAAGGATGTTTTTTGTTTAGTGACATTTCAAAGAATTTATGGTTACATTTGAAACAATTCATTTTAGATTTTTTAAAATGTTGATTAATTTTTTTAAAAAAGGTTTTGATTTTTGCAAGTAAAGTAAAGTGCCCAACCAATAAATTATAATATTTGGAAGAAAAAGTAAATTGCAGTAAAGTAAAATGACAAAAATTAATTAACACTTGTAAAATTGTACTTATCATCTTATTGGCATTGCCGCTAAAATGTTAGCTTTTGCAACATGTATAAAAATTTACAAAAGATTTAAAAAAATTGCAAGAGTAGATGAACATGTAATTTCCTAACTCTCAAACTATGACTCACTGAATTCCAAAAAGATCTTAATAGAAGATTTTAGAATGAAATATAACAGGTTCAATTTGTCCTTCAAAAAGTCCAAGAGATTACAAAGTGTTTAAAGAATGACCCTAAATCGCTTTTAAGATCTCTTCAAATATTTCGAGTTCATTTTAAACTTATCATATTGTTTCATTAATCATCCAAGGTTGAATTAAAAATTACATCATTACTTAGTGAACCTTAACATTTTAATTATCCCAAGGACATGGTACTCAATTAATCAGTTCACATTTTACTTAGGAGTTACGTTGGTGGATCCCTCTAAGGCAAGTCTAAGTCGGGCTTATAGTGCTTAGAGGTGTTTATCATCAATCATGTTTTCCTTTCTAAATCTCATCTAATAAGTTTAAATATCAGGCCTAGATCACTAGCAAGCCCTTAAAAATCTCAAAGGGAGAATGTGCAGCTATTGAAATTTTAATTTATGAGATACATAGCTTTATTAAAAGATCATATTATCATCAATTGTGGGCCAAAAATAAGTGAATTATCATTTTCTTAGCTTAAGCTCATCACTTCAGAGTCATTTGATTTTGATTAACTTCCAATTCTTCATAAAAAAAATTATAATTTTAATCTTATCATGTAAAAGTGACAAATTGGTTTCTACCTTTTAACGCATTATGTCTCAATCATCCAATAGTACTTATTTAAATCAAAAATACACATTTTTCCTTTTGTTTAATCCTAAATTTTGATTAAGACACAAAAGTATAAAATCACCATTTTGCCCTTAGGGCTCTCCACTTCATAGTAATTTAAATGACATTGAAAATTTTAAGGTACTCTATCCATGGGTTAATTACGACATTAGAGGAGAAAATGTGGCTCTTTTAATTTTTAATTTAATTTAAATAGTTATTTTAATTTTAAAAATAGGATTTTCAATATTAATTTATTTAATCAATAAAAAAAAAATTTTTAGTTTATAGAAAAAATATTAGAGGTTCACTTTAGTCAGAGAAACACTTTGGCAAAATTTCATGATTCTTCATATTTAAATTTTAATTATTATATAATGATTTTTAATGATTTAATTAAACAAAAAAATGTCTTAATTATAAAGATTATTCTTTTATATTTTTATTAAATCTCTCAGAGTCCACAGAACACAGTCAAATAAAATTTTATATTTTTTATATTTTTAATTTTTTGTTATAATAAATTTAAAGGGAAAATAAGGAAAATAAACTTTTAAGCCTTTAAAAATTTATTTTTAACTTTAGAAAAATGGAAAAATATATTTAAATGTGTCCTAAGTGATCAAGAAACAATTAGGCACATTTTGAAATATTTTATATTTTTTTGGATTTTTAATTATTTTTTAAATATTTTTAATTTAAAATATAATTAAAAAATGAAATATTTTCTCAAAAATAATTTTTATTTTTTCTAAGTGCTCGTGATCACAAGTACCTCAGAAAAATAATTTCGATAATTTTTTTATTTGTATTTAATTTAATACATTTATTTTTGTACAAAAAAATATAATTTTCCTTAAAAAATAAACTTTAGATCTCAAACTTAATCAAATAATTTTAAATTTTTTAC